TTTCTCAGCTGATCCTAGCGATACCTCCAGCGGAGAGTCTTTGACCGGAGCATGTGAGCCAATCATTGAAGGCTTCAAAGAGGCGTTGAACAGGGATGCTGCTAATGGATCCTATCTGTCTCTCGCCACTGCATATGTGAACTTGACTGCTGTCTCGTGTTGCAAGACTGATACAAGCATCGTTCGATTGTTATTGGATCGATGCTTTGCCGACCCCACTGTGCGTCCTGATGACCTCCTACTGCATGCTCGGCCTCTCACCATCCTAGCTCTCTCTAATGGCGCACGTAGAGAAGAGCTGAAGCATCGTCTGGCGAGTGCCCTGGTAGCTCCATCTGATGAGGCACTCTCTACGCCGTCGCTCTTACAAGAGTCTGTTGCCTGCCTGTTGCTCTTGGGTGAAGATATCCGGCCTGTTTGCGAGCGCCTAGCGCTGAATATTGAGAATGTCGAGAGGACGGCTGCTGCTATGCGAGCGCGGTTCGAAGTTTCTGCATGACGTTTCCGTGTTCACAATATTAGGTTGTGTTCATAAGTTCCTCGTTTTCAAGTGGTATTGTAAACTCCTGCGAACCCACGGTTAGACACTTGACTGCTGTTGCGACAGCAAGAGAAGTATACTCATGAATTCATGGCTATGAGCTTATACTCGCAAGGGACACCTAATGGGAACTTATTGCGCGTGCCCAGCTGGTCCCTGTGGGACTGCAACATATTCATAGTTACAATTCCTCCTAGCCTTTTCTTAGATCCGTCCTGCTCGCAATCACTAACAGCCGCACATCGAATGGCATGGCGCATGGCATTTGTTCCAAGTTACCGTTATATCATCAGAAAAGGTCCCTTTCGGATCACCGAAGGAATCATATCAACTACGCGAGGAGCTCGAGCTCGAATAGCATGTATACCTAACAGAATCCCAGGAACTCCCTTCACATCACCGAAGAGTTACTGGCGACCTTAAACTACACTCAGTCTGCTCGATCGTCACCAGCGACAGGCAGTCGGTCGGCATATTGAGAGAAGAGTTAGCGCAGTGATAGCCTGACGCGCTGCCTCTTTAAAGTGAGGTATCAAACTTATTCTTGCTTAGTTTGCGCGCAAGTTCTCTTGATGGTACAACGGATACCGGGCTGAGGTGCCAGAATTGTACTGAGGGTTCCTAGATCACATCCAGGCCTGGAACTAGTGAGGCAACCATGGCTGGACTCCAGCCACTGGAGAGAAAGGCGCAAGTGACGTGGGCCACGATATGTTGCCTCGATACCTATGCGTGCACCGTGACGCAACAACGCCAGCACGTCACGGGCTATGAAGAAAGGCAATGATCCCCACGATGCGTGTGACCCCCTCTTGGTCGCTCGTTTGACATCGTTGCTTCGTCATTTTCAGGAGACCGATTTCTCCCTTTGATGCGATTCCTGGTGTTTAGCCTCGTCTTGGTCTCCTATCTATCAGTGGTCGGAGCTAGCGGGTACCACTACGAGTTCCAAGTTGAAACGAAGCATCACTGCCTTGATGACGTTCATGATTCTTTCGGTGAACCCCTCCCTTGCCAGAAGTCTGTAGAGATGGAGACCCTAGGGCTCACACTGCCCGGCATGGAAGATGGGGTGCTCACAACAAGAAGCCATATAATCGCGGGCGCTGATTACGAGATCTCAGTGGACTCTCATCCTAGTCACCCGTACCAATACTTTATGCATATCAGGACAGCGGAGTCCTACCGTGTGGAACACCTCATCAACGGCCAGAGCGTTCTGGTTGGTGAGGTGCCGTCGCACCCGCAGGTTACTCCCGCGATCCGGTCAGTCGCTGATCTCGAGCAGGATGGTTGGGCGTTCCTTGAGGTCAACTGCCGCGGGGACTATTGTGAGGACATCTGGACGAAGAAGAGTACCGTTGAGCCAAGTATGGCTAATGGCATCCACCTTACGGGAATATATGCGAGCAACATTATGCCCGACACGTGGTTTATCTACCTACGTCATGATGATGGAACGCCATTGAGGATTGAAGCCACCAATGAGAGACATGGCGGGACCATTCACCAGCAAACCTTTTTCACCAAATTCCAGAAGCACTCTCACGAGCATTCGATAATGGTTGCTCGGCAGCGAATGTTGGATGCCTATCTCATTGATAACGACGCTGACTCATTTACTTACACGGCAGTGGGGCACACACATCACTTCAAGACGCAACTGTTCTCTGGTATGGTTCCTGTTGCATCGAGGATTCCCCCTATGGTATCAGATTGGATTCCAGCATCGCATTTCGAGAGTACGGGAATCATCCCGTACCATGTTATCGAGCCAGGGTCTGCTGCAGATTTTTATTTCTCCACTACTGGTCGGGCTCGCTCGTTGATACAAATGTTCGACTTCGAGTACCCTAAGACCTGCATGAAGGATGGCCAGTCAGACAAGTACTGTCTGTCGGTTGTTGCCGATAAGAATGCCTCGAAGGGGCAGATGGAGCTCGAAGCTGGAATACGAATGTCTGATGTTCATGAACATACTCGGAGTGCAGAACTCAGACTCACAGCTATTCTGAACACTAACCAACACGAAGCGCTGGCACTGGACTTCTCCCTTCACGCTAAAGGATGTGCAATGGTTTGGCAGGCCGGTACCAAAGTGAGCCTCACTGTTACGGTTTGCCTCGTTGCTAATGCTTCTGGTCATGATCTATTCGATCGGGCGACCAGAACTTTCCAAGGCACCGTAGCTGTTTCGGTGACCTTCAACATAAGAATCTTCACGTTTAAACTACCCGTGGGAGTCACAATTGACGGGGTTGTTGCTTGTGCCGCATACCCTTCGAACAATATCACTGCCTTGGGTAAGCTTGGTGTCACCGTCTCTATCCCCCATGGCGGAGCTTCCATGGGTCTTGACTTCACCGCTACCACAGCCGATCATCTTGCGAGTGAGTGGGAGTTCGCCTCTGGTATTAGTTTCTCAGCATGGGTGAATTTCTTATTCTGGAAGCCACGGTTCAACCGAAGGTTTCCTCTTTGGCACGCTGGTCTGAACCATGCATAGCAGCTACATATCGAACAGTTTTCCTTCATTCGATTCGCTGTGCTATTTTACGGTCAGTTCCAGGCGAAAACTTCAAGCATTGACTCAATCTCGCCAGGGACTCTGCCAGCTCATCGTTGGATTCTTCTTATCATATCACGCTGTCGCTTCTGGCGATTTACTACATCTTTAGCAAGAGTTATTGATGAGTTCTCACTTCCATCGCTGAGTGTTGATTTCGTCAAAAGTAATTCGGTTCATACATACATCGCTATCAACACGATGGTCCAGTTAATGTTCCTCCTCAGGTCCACACCGAAGTTGTAGGGAGCAGGTCATGAGGCGAAATTGGGGTTCGCTTCACACTCACTACCCGGAAAGAATGGTCAAGGTTGCGATATTCGATATCCGTGGACTCACCTTATCTCATTTGCAACCATTATTCGGGTCTCTTGTTGAGCCAAATACTGACGAATGGTGCCATAGGCCACTGGCTACTGCTGCTGTCGCTGACCATCGAGTTGATCGATACTCTATGTTTCGGATGAATGCATTCAGACGCATCACTATTGATGCTGCATAGAGAAGGTATAAACAGACGCACTTGAAGACGAGACACGTCGATAGTTGAGTTGAATTTGACGAAGGATGAACGCGCCAACGATTAACTCACTAAAAACGCAAGAGACCATGTATCGACTACGGTGATGATGCAGCTGTAGATGGTGATGGCGTTGTCAAGTATATCTATTTCAGTGAAGTTAGTACGACGATTAAAGGCTGATGCTGCCGCTCAACATACGGCCAACATCACACGGTTGCTTTGAGGAATCGTATGGGTCGTCGCAACAGCAAAGAGAAACCATCGCCTTTGGGAGGACAATAGAGTGCTAGTGGATATGGAAATATACAAAAGGATGCGTTGTAACAGTAGGTTGTCACTCACTGAGTGCAACTGTAGTAATAACAATCACATCGAGAATCCCGCAAGGTACTCTATCAAGCACCCAGAGGTCGACAATCGTAGCGATTCTTCCTGTTGCTGAATATCGCCCGGAAACCTCACATAGCATATTTCTGCGTCCATTCCCTGGCAATGGCGTCATGCTTATTCCGATCACCCTTGTACATATGGGCAATCTCGGGAACAAACGGATCGTCAGGGTTGGGATCAGTGAGTAACGATGAGATAGACAACAGAACCTGTGTTAATAGTATGGTAGTGATGGTATAATATACAGCCTCTTACCTTGGATATAGTTAGTGCTGGACTCCACTGATCCTTGAGGATATCGAGACAGATGGAACCATTGGCACTAATATTGCAGTGATATATCTTAGTGGTGAAGTGACACTTCGGGGGCTTGAAGGGATAATCACTGGGGAAGTTTATGTTAAGGAAGAAGACACCGCCTTCGTAAGGAGAATCTTTAGGGCCCATGATGGTTGCTTGCCAATGGAACATATCATCACCTAAGGGCACGAGATGATGGATCCTGCATGAACCAGCTGTTACAGCGAGCACTACCTATGGGGCCAGCGGAACAATTTGCCGGAGGATCACGACTGAGATCCTGGAGTTCTTTGTTGATACGTCGCAGAGCCATTTGTACAGTAGAAAGAGACGAATACGAGAAGGAATGAGAATATCTACCATAGAAATC